ATCTATCTATCTATCTATCTATCTATCTATCTATCTATCTATCTATCATCTATCTATCTATCTATCTATCTATCTATCTATCTATCTATCTATCTACCTATCTATTTACCGGTATGTGAATACTTTCATCAGAGTATGCCCCATTGTGCATATCTGTGGGATAAAATAAAGCCTTGACAATAGTTGACATTTCAGTAGATAGCTATGTTAAAGCTATAATAAATTATTCTACCACACCTTGGTCTTGCTCACAGGGAGCTTATGCAGAAAGCTTTAAAAATATTGAAGCCTTTGTTTATCGATATTCCAGGGACTTTGTAACACCAGAGTTGCATTACTTAATGATTTAAAAAAAATGTGTACACATTTCTTTATTGTTTTATAATTCCACTCCTCCACCCCACCCGCCCCTTCAGCTCTGGTGGGCACTTAAGGCAGCTTACAAAATTTCAAAACAAAAACAAAATAGAAAAAGTTTAAATCCAGGTTGAAAAATAACAACAAAATAAATACTAAAACTATCTAAAAATTGAGAGCCAGGATATTTATCAATGTCTTAAACTTTGAGAGAAGAGGAGGGCACAAACACCATTCCCATGGAGGATACTCCACAGTTTTGGAGCAGCAGAGAAGAAGAGGTCCTCTTGGAGATGACAGAAAGACCCAAGCCTGATAGCAGGACATAATCTAATTTGCTGTTATTAAGTAGTAAATAGTCTGACAGATAATCTTGTATGCCCTAAACCATTTAAATTTTGAAACTGTGCCGAGAAAATCAACTGCTATTATCAAGGATAGCCAGCAATGACAAATATTGTTCTTTCTGTTCAGTCATAACAGTTTCTGGTTTTCTAACTAAGTACCCTCCAGATATATGAGACTTAAATTCCCATAATTTCTAGTCATGCTGTTCTAGTAAGAAGAAGAGTCTGTAGTAGGAAAGCAGCTCAGTCTTGGAGGGTGAAGGAGGACAAGCTAAGTGGGAGGGCTAGGAGGGAGGAAAAAAAGGAAGATTTTACTTTTAAAGTTGGTTTATCTAAGAGGGTGGCAGAGAGGCACTTTACTAGTGAAAAAGATCAGAGAGCCAGTTTCGTGTGGTGGTTAAGGCATCATGCTGTAAACCCGGCATCAGTGAATTCTATCTACTCCTGCTGGTTGACTTTGACCAGTCACTCTCTCAAGGAAAGAGTCAATGACAAACCACTTCTTTAAAAAAAAAAAAAACTGCCTATAAAACTGCAGGGACTACTAAAGGCAGTCGCCAGAAATCAATACAGGAAGGAAGGAAGGAAGGGAGGGAGGGAGGGAGGGAGGGGAAGGAAGGAAGGAAGGAAGGAAGGAAGGAAGGAAGGAAGGAAGGAAGGAAGGAAGGAAGGAAGGAAGGAAGGAAGATCTAAGAACATTCCGAACTTAATAAAGCACTTTTCAGGACTTGAAAAAAATTCAGCCATTTGTTGGGAAGTTAAAATGTTCAGAGAAAAATAAAGATACATGTAAAATCCCATTTTAGTTCTAAAATTAAGACATTTTGGCTCAGTAAGTCTCAAAAACTAAAGTTGAATTAGCCTTTTGTTAATTAGCTCCTTTTCAATGATGCTTCCTCTCCCGTATCTAATCAGCCTGTGCCTCCACACTATTGTCATGGAATCGTTTCAAAAGCAAGGAAGCCTGCAAAATACTCTTAATGAAAATAAAACCAGAATCCTGCATAAATACAACATTATGTTTAAAATGCCAAGCTCTTGCAATGCATATGCTTAACTGAATGTAAGCATAGAATCTGGCAGAAAGCCCAGCCTTGGCCAATGAAATGATTACTCATTTCCCTAAAAAAAATTCCTTTCCTGGGAGATGATGGAATGCACTTTTATCTGTACAGAAGCCCACTTAGCATAACTACAGATAGTCCTTGATTTACGACCACAGTTGAACCTAAAATTTCCATTGCTAACCAAGGCAGTTATGAAGTGAGTTTTGTCCCGTTTTACAACTCTTCTTTGCCACAGTTGTTAAGCACTCCAATTGTTAAGAGAAGCGTGTGCTTGTTAAGCAAATTTGGCTTTTCCCATTGACTTTGCTTGTTGGAAGAAGCTGGGAAGGTTACAAACAGTGACCTGGAGACAGTACCATTGTCATAAATACACACCAGTTGCCAAGAGTCTGAATTTTGATCATGTGACCCTTGGGATGCTGGATTGTGATGTGTAAAATGGTCGTTAAGCCACTTTTTTCAGTGCCACTGTAACTTTGAACGGTCACTAAATGAATAGTTGTAAGTCAAGAACTACCTGTATCACCTTACCAGTACAGAGAAGACTGTACTAAAACCACCACTGGCATTGTCAAGCAGCAGAAATATTTTGCTGCAAGTCAATGATATAAGAATGATTTTCTAGATTACCCCTCTCCTACATACAGCATGCTCCCCCCTGCAGTTTTCAAATTCTAGTAAATTAATTATTGTCCTGGTGATTTACATTTACATTGCCCTGAATAATCTACCCTGTGAAGTGAAAAGCAACAGGGAAGTTTAACTTGCTTTGTTCACACAACGAACATATTTAATCTGTAACTACTGCGAAATCTTAAGTAGGCATGCTAACAATGTCACTGAATATGAACTGGTATGTGCCACAAGGCATATCTGTCCACTGTAATTCCTTGGAGCCAGAACTGTAATATAGAAGAAAATGACAAATACTGACCTTTCTTTGCCAAACTATTATTGGGTTCATATTTTTCAATCAGTTGTTGAACCTGTTCCTGCTTCAAGAACGGAAAGAGAATTTCATTTAACCGTGGGTCTCGCTGCTTGAAGTTTATAAATTCCATCATCTGGTCAACAGTTAGATACGGTCTGCTCTTTGCCCCCCTGATAAAAAGAACCATCAAAACATAAAGAAAAAGAAAAGGAATGTGAGCAAGCATCCTACATATCTCCTTCTGTTATGTTTCCTGGATGAGCTAATACACACGAGAACAAGCTCTGAATGTGTAGGCTCACACAGATAATGGACTAGCTGTTTGTTTATAGTCTATTTTATTGAGCTTCATGTAACTTCCTCCTCTCTCCCACATTTTACTAACACTGGAAGGGATGGGGAACACTGCCAAGGATGGTGAGTCTATAACTTGAGGACTATCTTTAAGCCTGAAGCTACAATGAATGCAGAGAGGGTTGATAGGCTGAACAGTTACTATTCATTTTACTGGATCTAAAGTAAGTGTTGTTCCTGAACATCTGCTTTCACTATCTTGCTTATAGAAGATATAACATAGAACCACAAAAACCACCCCCTTTGTCCCTTTACAATCGGATCAGATTGTAAAAGGAACCAAAAACAAAACAAAAAACACCATAGATCAATTACGTGTTATGATTTCTTTGCTTCTCTAGGGCTCATGGATCCAAGTGAAAGGCACATATTAATTGGGCGCACATGAATCTTCCAAAATTTTAATCTTAAAAAGGAACAGGAAATCTCAAGCCAGCAAAGCATAAAACTGTTGGTTATCAGTAGAAGCTTTTGAACTTTTTTTTAAAAGCCAGTTTACTATTGAACCAATTTGCAAGTTTGCTAAGTTAGATTAGACAATAATCGGACAATTTGTTAAAGATGAAAGCATTCCCATAATGATATTTGGTATTTTTTCTGTTTGACCCAAACTCATCAGACTCTTATTGGTTTACTTAGAGCAGCCACTGCCACAAGTTTATACTTCCAAATAGGCCCGCCACTTTTCCTCATATCATCATCAAATAGCATCAACACACAGTGCTGCAAAAGCAGCATCTAGCAATATCCTTTAAAGAGAGAATAAGAGGGTACAGCTATGGCTAAAATGTCAGAAAACCAGACTGGAAAATTCTATGTAATTCACAATGCATGACAAAAGAATATGTGTGAAAAAAGCTCTGGCACCAATTTTTAAAAATTGGAGCACTTTTTAGAAGGAAGATACAAAATACAGAATTTGAAGAGAGTGTGGTAGCAGAGAAAATAATTTAATTATTGGTCCGACCAGAGTTGCTCCATTTCAATTATGTCCTCCTCCAATTTTCTTTCCCTCTTTCCAGATAATTCTAAATATATCCACATTGGTGTCAGTATTCTCTTTCATGCATCTACAGTTAAAGTCCCTCTAAACTCCGAAGGCATGAATATTAAAAACACAAGAAAAGGAATACATTTGATATTCACTTTTAAACTGCTTTGGGTTTTCCATAATATTAGAGTATGAAACAACAGCAGCTCAGCCGTCAACTGAATTTTATATTGAATGCAAGCACTGACAATAGGCACTGTACTACACTGTCCTCTGACTTATTTTTTTGCTATGTTGAACAGATTACCAGAGCATGTACTGCCCAGTGGATACTTCCTGACCACTTAGTTTAACTGGAGTTCAAACTAGTATATGCCAGAAGATAAATATCATCTGACAGTTACATTCCATTAGGAATATTATATTATTAATGTTCAAGAGATCAACAAAAGTGGCCAACCTTTACAGAGAAACGTTGTGGTTCTCAGAGCAGCTGATACATTAAAATGATAGCCAAAATATCCCAAACCCTGGTTGATCAAAAGATGATGCTAGAACTGGAATAAAGCAATTTTCCATTGGGAACAATAAGAAATACAGAAGTGAAGAAAAATGTAGGTTTCTATAACTCCTTACAGTTCTAGGAAGATGTGGTCAATTTCAGGCCGAGGACAAAAGTTGCTCAAAAACTCCCTGTATATTTCTGGAGTGAAGTCCTCTTGAGGAATTGAATCATTCTGGAGAGGAATTAAAATACAACATGTAATGATTTCTCAAATTTGTTCTTTTTCAATTGTTCAGTCTTTCTCAAAACTTTCAATTTGCGAAATTTCTTCTAATTTCCATGGCTCCTGTATCTCCTTGGAGTATTGTTGAGTATTTGTTACAGATTGAAAAGCAAAGCCAAAGACTAAACATTTAATCAATCTTGAATTATGGTTACAGACCAGAATTAAAAATTAAAATGTTAAAACAAAACAAAACAGAAAAAGACATAATAGTATATTACAGTAGGTCATCATCACCAATGAGCAGCCAAAGTTTGCCTAATTTTACAGACAATATAGCAGAATGTAGCTATATTCAAAGAAACTATATCGTACTGATCTAATAGTAACTGCTGTACATAAAAGAGATCAGAATTTCCCAAGTATATTGTCAGATAAAGAGTTATAAAATGAGTCCATGACTCCTTATAGAGGATGTAATATAACCGAACATGAGCTGTGGTTTCAGTGGCCCCTTATCCATTGGGGCACAATCTCAGCTCATATGAGATTTTTATATATTGACACCCCACCCCCCCAAAAAAAAATCTGCTGTGGAGACAGCATTACAACATGCTAGGATTAATGCCCTCTGAAATTGGGAAACAGTTAATATAAATTTTTCATTGGTTTGTGAAGCAAGACCTGACTACTCAATAAAACATTCTTGGATAAAATATGCAAGTCCTGCTGGACTTCCTGATTTTTAATATGCTGTTTAAATGTACTAAACTTATTCTACCAGTGGTTGGAAAAAAGGGGTTGAGAATAAGAATGTAATCCGTATTGCTAAGCAAATAAAACAACCCAGACAACACAATGTTTATTAAGCGCTAACAAAATGTAAACAATAGAAAATTAATAAATATACCAAATGCATGCTTAAACCTCCAAAATGGAGGATTGTTTTTTTTAACCCATGTTGATTTACAATTATCTTTCATAAGGAGGGGGCTCAGACCTGCACTTTATCTTCTTACACCCAGCATCCTTGCTGGATTTCCAGTATGACCTTTTTTTTATTCTTCCAGCAAACAAAGTCAGCATCATATTCTTCCTTGTTTAATGGTTTAATAGATATTTCAAACTACACTTGAATACCTTGAGACTATAGACTTATCAGAAAAAAATGTAAAATATAATGAAAATTTGATTTAATGGGTCAATTTGAGAAGGGGCTGTCTTTCAGTCTTGAAGAATGCGAGATGGGAAACCTTTAAATCAAAATTTCATAAATGTCAACCCTCAGTCCAGTTTGTTGTCATATAACAATGTAAAGCAAGCAGTTGGAAGTAGAATGTAAATTATATGTGGTGGAATTATTCAATTTTCCAACTTCAAAATTTATTTTCCTACAATTAATAAGGACTGCAGAATGTATTGCTTGTACCGCACTTTTTATTTTCTGTAAAAGTTGAAATAATATAAGACATTTCCTAGTCGAACCACTGACAACTACAATGATCTAATACGTATCAATTTTACAAAAGACAATGTTGAAAAAGCACTACGCAATCTAAAACCATCTCTATCTATTGGAATGGATGGAATATGTGCCTATTTCTTAAAAAAGCTATCCACTGCCATAGCCGAACCTCTAAGCATAATCTTGGAAAAATCTTTCAGGACCAGCTCCTTGCCAATGGTCACAAGCCACGGTCATCCCCATCTTCAAAAAGGGAGACGCCAGCCTAGTTGAAAATTACAGACCAATCTCTTTATGCTGTGTCACCTGTAAAGTCATGGAATCAATTATTAACCAATCCATTATCCTCCACTTAGAGACAAACAACCTACTCTCTAACAAACAATTTGGTTTCAGAAAAAAACTATCCTGTAATCTGCAACTCTTACACTGCAAAAAAGGGTGTTGGTATTTACCTGATACGCCCGTTCTCTGTGAGCTGTGAAGAGCATCCAGTGATGGAAGGTGCTTCAGTCCCTTCTAGGAAGGCTGGGCTTAAACTTGAGGACACTTCTCCTCCTCCACGAGACTCCTCCTTAGCGTCCCCAGTTTTGCGAAGCCAAGGTATTGATACCCTATATGCTTAAGCCTATGTAATAACCCTGGTCGGAACAGACCCCCTACCAGACGGAATAAGAGGGAGAGGCTGGATGCTCTTCACAGCTCACAGAGAACGGGCGTATCAGGTAAAACAAAACAAAACAAAAAACTGAGCGAAATGACTTTTGGAGGTTCCCAGGGGGGTGGTTGGTGACAGAAACTATGGTATTACCTGACCTGAGAAATAAATCAGTTAAATCGCCAGTGTTCTGTTCCAACCAGGAAAACAATAATACAACCTGTTTGAAGAAACGCTGAGCTAAAACTGGGGACACTAAGGAGGAGTCTCGTGGAGAAGGAGGAGTGTCCTCAAGTTTAAGCCCAGCCTTCCTAGAAGGGACTGAAGCACCTTCCATCACTGGATGCTCTTCACAGCTCATGGGAGAACATATGGTCTACACAACTCGATCAGGGCAAAGCAATAGACACAATCTACATAGACTTACGTAAAGCCTTTGATTCAGTGGTACACGACAAACTACTCCTAAAACTAAAATCTGATGGTATCTCTGGACACCTGCATAACTGGATAGAGGCATTCCTGTCAAACAGGCAACAAATGGTCAAAATTGGGAGCATCCTATCAAATTCTGCACCTGTCAACAGTGGTGTCCCCCAAGGCACTGTTCTAGGACCAACTCTCTTCATACTTTACATAAATGACCTCTGTGATCATATTAAGAGCAACTGCGTTCTCTTCGCCGATGATGTAAAGCTATTCAACACCACAGACAATACTGCTACCCTTCAAAAAGACCTCGACTATGTATCAGAATGGTCAAACAAATGGCAACTTCAAATCTCAACAAATAAATGCTCTGTCTTACATATTGGCAAAAAAAAATCAGAAAATAAAATACAGGCTGAATAGTCAAGACCTTGTTGATGATCCAAACTCTGTCAATGACCTTGGAGTACTCATCTCTAATGATCTAAGTGCTAGAGCCCACTGTAACTACATAGCCAAAAAGGCATTAAGAGTTGTTAACCTAATCCTACGTAGCTTTTTCTCTGGTAATATCACACTACTAACTAGAGCATACAAAACATTTACTAGACCAATACTTGAATACAGCTCATCAGTCTGGAACCCGCATTACGTATCTGATATTAATAGTTGAGAAAGTTCAGAAATATTTCACAATAAGAGTTCTTCACTCCTCTACTCGTTGCAGAATACCTTATGCCACCAGACTTGAAATTCTAGACCTAGAAAACCTAGAACTATGCCGCCTTCGGTCCGATCTAAGTATAGTACATAAAATTATATATTGTAATGTCCTACCTGTCAATGAATACTTCAGCTTCAACTATTACAATAAAGAGCACACAATAGATACAAACTCAAGGTAAACCGCACCAAACTTGATTGCCTACTGTCCCTGTCCTATTGTTTCTTTTTATTTGTTTTATATGTATCCATTTCATGTATTCATAACTATGTTTATACTTATTTTAATATTTTAAAGCTTTGGAGTTTTTGCTGATAATTGGGTGAGGATACATAATTATTTGATTTGTTTATTACTAAAAGATGGGTTATGGAATTAAGAATTCTATATTTGTAAATTAAAGTGGTGAAAAGATTAGGAAATTGTTTATACGTGATGAGGGTGGGAAGTGGCTTTCTTAAAAGGGGATTTTTTTTGCATTCTTTTTCTTTTTCCTTTTATCAGTTTATTGTTTTTTTTATATAAAAATCTTAATAAAAATATTTTTAAAAAGACTGAGCAGCTTCCATATCTCTAGGGTTCAAATGCTATTCTGATCTAATTAGACTGGAAATATATTTATTATTAATGGATGTTTTATTTCCTCTTTGGGTTTTTATCTGCCACCAGATAGTGAACTCCCTTCCTATTTTTATCATATACTTCCTACCAATTAACTGCTGTTGTATTGTTTTTCCAAATTTTGTCCACTATCAAAGTAGTTTGAAAAGGTCATCAATTTGAATGAAAGTGACTGAAACTGAAAATCAATTACCCTAAACATTCCAGTGTAAATCAAGAGATCTTTTCTGACAACTGTAAATCTTTACTCATTATTGGTTAATCACAAATCTTTTCCATATAAATCTGGGTAATTTAAAATGAATCTGTTTATTTTTTAATAGAAATGCAGTATTTCCCGTCTATAACTTTCATTTTTGATGGCTAATATCTACAGTTTTTAATAATATTTTGGCATTTTAAAAAGGAATTCTAACATGTCTCCTTTTGGAGAAACAGTACATCACATTTCTGTTATCTTATTTCTGTTATTTCCAATAATAACTGGAAAAAAAACCATTCATTTAAATATTTGGGTTAAATATAGTGAACCAGATTGCATTTAGTTCATTGATGGCTACAGATGTCCCCAAAACCAATAAAATCCTTTCAAAAGTCTAACAAAAAATCCTCAAACTATGCATCTTTATGATTCACTTTTATTTGGTAAAGCTATTAATCAGTTGTGGATTTTTAAAATATTATCTTTTTAAAGTACATTCTTATTTGCAACTATTTTCCAACATTGTTTATAACATGTACTGGATTTCTTTCATTATTTCATTATTTGATGGTACTTGATGACAGAGTTCTGCAGAATAAAAGAACATGCATTTTGAAAAATTTATTGTTCAAAGACTGTATAAGCATTGTGCACTGAACAACTTCTCAGCCATGATGTATCTCCAATAGCAACTTAAATCACTTTAAAATGGTCTCTTATTTATCTAGGATTTTTTCAACTATTTTTATGCCTTAGCAGCTATTAAATTAGTGGTTCACTATCACAACCATTTAGCATTTAGTAATTGGGACTATGCTTGAGTTAAGTATTATTTTTTTTGTAAAATTACAAAAAGTTGTAATTTTAGCTCTTTTAAGTATATTATGTCTTCTCCTTGTATCCCCCTTGTATTATTTATTTGTTCAAAACTTTTAACCTTCTTCTCAAGCTCTGTAACTTCTTATCACCGAATTGTGTTAAAAGTTGGTCATGGCTAAAATGATTTATTTCGTTTCATTTGAAGAATTTAATTGCAGTACCTGGCTGTGAAGAATAAAACTGAGCATTTACCTAAACAATTCTAAAAAACAACAACTTCTCACCTTAATTTTTTCTGCTGAAGTAAGATATATGTACAAAACTTGTGCCTCTTTCTGGGTTCAGACAAATCTTTATTTTCCCCCCTACTAAACAGAAGCTGGATACTTCAATCTACAGACATCTGATTGCAAAATTAAGATATGCCACCATTTTTGATGGGAATGTTTGGATTTATATATCGACTATTCTTCAGGAGTGTTAGTTTATGCACATGCCGTCTTTCATTTTCTCCATATAAACACCTTGTGTAGAAGACTGGTCAGAAACAGAGTACCAATTTCATTCATATGCGTTGTCACTAGAATCTTATATAATGTATGTTTTTAATTTTTTAAAGCTTTTAGAATGAAATTTAATGGATTTTTAAAGGATATTTTTATATTCCACCATTTTTCATATACAACTCATGGTTATTAACATAAGAATATTTCTTCCCGCTCCTATTTTCCCCATAACTACAAACATGTGAAGTTGAGTTGGGCTGAGAGTGACTGGCTCAACTGGTTTTCACATGCCTAAGATGGAACTAGAACTCAGTTTCTTGGTTTCTAGGCCAACTTAACCATTACACCAAACATGTTCCCACTTTAGCTAATTATGTTACATTATTGTTGCGCAATTTGTTGTTGAACTTTTTTGTTCTGATCAATGATGAAATCATTGTACTTTTTTATTCATCCTGTAAATTGAACAGGCAGGGATCAATTGAACCTGGGTCTCCCAAGCCTAGTCTATCTTCTTAACTAGATGATAACCAGTGATTAGAAGAGAGAACTGGACCACAGAGATTTCATGAGAGTAGCTGTTTGCTCTTCTACACATTGAGAAACCATTGGCAGCAGGAAAAGGTCAGGCAAAAGTGAGATTGCCTATAGAAATTGTTTGCTTTTTCTCTTCCCCCAACCTACTTTAAGGAGCAGATAGATTGGAGAGAAAAAGATTTCAAGAGAGTACTGTAAACTGTTTGTGTAGTATGCCAATGGATCCCAGCCTCAGACTGCCAGTTTGAGATTGCTTTTGATGTATAGAAGAGCAAACAGATTACTCTCTTGAAATCCCTCCCTCTCCAAAATTGCTGCTCTATGAGGGAAGGAGGAGAAGAAGGTCAGGTACCAAACTTGTACTATCTATAATGGCAATCACATGATTGAGGTATGCTGTGGAGGCAGTAAATGAGCTGTAGTTTTTTTCAGGACCACTGTAATTTCAAATGGTTGCTGAATGAATGGTCAGTAAATGAGGATGACATGGGACACACTCCAAATTAAAAATACACATTCTGCTTCTAAAGTCTGAATGTTAACAATGATTACAGGCCACTGTAAATAAAGGATGTGATCCATATAACATGTAGCTTTTTGCACAAAGTAATATACTTTAATGGGTTTCTGATTCACAGTTTTTACTCTATTTCTCTAGGACATTCAACAGTTAATTCTTTGTTACTCAGGGAGAGTCATTAACAAATTTTGCTGTAATACACTATGTAATACACTACATTATCAGAAATGTGATGAAAATCATTATGTAGAAAGTATCGTGAGAGATAACAAAAATAATTAAACTGATGCAAAATTACAGAGTGGATGGGTTAATACTATTTGCTCATGGGAAGCTACTCCTGAAATGTCAAAGTAAATATAAAACGTTTTGATGAAATATACAAAAATGTATCAAACATAGGTCTGGTTTATTTAAATATTGCTGTGTTGAGAGAAATACTAAGATAGAAAAACCAGAGCCATTATTTATTTCTTTGCTTTGTCCAACTACTAGGGTAATATGAACTGGCTATATAAAAGATACTGTTATCAACTTTCTTACTTCTGCTTTTTTTTTTTAAGAGAGGGCCTTTTCTCCCACAACATCCCAGTGACTGGAAAAATTCCCAGGAGCCAGTAGAAAGATCAAGTAATATTCCACACTTGCCTCCCAGATATTTGCATTTCATATTGGGCTGATTTTCAAAAATAACCTAAAAGCTTCACCTGTGAATTTTTCAAAAAAGGAAGAGGGAGAAAAATACACATCCCATTGATAAATAACTTCATTGGTCACCAAAAATGGGCAGAATGTTGATTTTGAATGAACAAGCCAGAGGCTATCTTGAACTAGAGTATCCGGAATACCACTTGCTGGTTTAATATAAATGTGTCCAATTTCAGCTCTGTAGCTTGTGGGTGACCAGAATAAAAAATCAACTCTACTGGAAGACTAAAGCTGTATCTTATTGAGATAGGCTATAATAACTGAAGCTTGCCAGCCTGATTGTGCTTTATTTCCTCCCCAAATTTATCCCAATGAATTAGAGGGAGCCTGCCTGAATTTCTTCTGAATGTTATCTTGCTTTCCAGGACATAATTTTCAGCCCTCTTTGCTTATGTAACACTTCTTGCATATATCTGTCATGGTAATTTCCCTTCCTCTTTATACTATTAAAGCTGCATAATATTTTTCTTGCTGTTGCCCCCTTTTTTTTGGTAGAATTCTTAACATCCCATATGCATTTTTGTGGCATGTAGGAGGAAAGTTTACTAATCAGATAATCCTCAGTGTCTCTCCCCATCAAAAGGAATCAATGTTGCCTGCAGAAAGATACTGATGAGACTCTTTTCCATATTGAGTGCTTTTGTCTACTGTCAGCACAGATCAGGATGTATTTGAAGGTATTAATTAAATAACTTTATATTTTTCTTTGCACAAAGATAAATTCCACATTAATTAAACCAACAGTTGGCAACATATCCTCTATCCTCACAAATCTGCTCACCAGGCTCTCACAATTTCACCCACGCAGGAGTTTCTTCATCTCTTGTTTGGCTATGAGTAATCAGGGTTTATTTTCCTAAGCACTTATTACAATTTCTGTTTCTCTTCAGGTTTTCTCTGGCAAAGTCCTTTTATCATTCCAAGAGAAAGATTTTTTATTATTGTTTTTACTGTTTAACCTTACATCTAAAGATTCACATTGCATTTTTACTTAATTGGTGTTTTATAATATAGTCCTTAAAAAGTTTTGTCAACCAACCTAATTGGAAAGATAGTACACACATCATTTCAGATTCAAGATTTCACTCTCCAAAATGTGTAGGAGAGGAAGTGTAGCTGAGAACCACTTCTAGAGCATTTCTTCTTTAGATTCAAATTGAAAACTTTAGGTTGTTTGGGAGAAATGTATAACATGATATTCTCTTGCCCTGTTGGAATTTGACAAAATGCTGAATACATTTCTCCAGAACATCTAAATCCCTGTTGAGGCTCTGGCATATTTTTCTTTTGCCTACCCCAGTGCTGCTCGCTAAAACAGCAGCCAATATCTTTCAGTAAATAAGCTAGCTAAGAGTAGATAGAACAAATTTGCCAAGTCAGAATCCCGTTAGAATACTGAGCGATACGATGCACCTAGAGACAAGCATATAAACTCATCGGTGCATGATAAATTCTAGAACTGACATACACTAGAACTAACATCAAAGTGGCTGGATTGCTAGGCTGGAAGAGAAGCGGAGGCCAACGTTTCTTATTAAAATCAGATGAAGAAAAAGGTTTCAATACTTACTCTAGCAGATGGAAGGTTACAAGCTTCCAATGCAGTCTCAATACGCTTTCTGTCAGAGGAGAATAAGCGATAAATGCTGCAAAATAGAAAAAAAGAGAAATGCTCTTCACTAATCCCTCCCATATTCTTGGTTTGCTAGTATCACACTGTCTAACAGATTGCTTCTTTTCTTCCTTCCTTCTTTCCCAATAAATTTCTGTAGTGGCTAACTCTTTATTCATATACTCAATGGAATCTAAATTTATCAAAGAGTATCATTACTCTCCATCTAACTTTAGAACCAATTCAGACATTATAGAAAAATCAGTTACTCTGCATTATTTTGGACAAGGTGACACAAGCAATGTTAAGTCTCTGAAGCTTAGGATGCACAATTTTTCAAACTGAGTTTTATGTATTAGTAAGATATAGTTTGGATTTGGGTAGATGGGTGGATGATCCTGTTAGACTGAATTTGCTAAGAGATAATTCTTGCCCTTTCAGTTTTGCATGTATCATTGTGCACATTCCCTTCCCAAACAAGCTCAAATAATATTCTATAACTGGGTTGGAGATTCAGCTGATATTTATGAAGCACAGCTCCTGCCACGACTCACTTTCAACCCATGTTGATAGAATCTTGGGTTCAGCAAATACCTGATTTCCATCCCTACCCTACGGGCCAAAATGGCTGATATCAATCTAGGACCTACACAGTGCTTTCACATTCATATCTGCCACCAAAATACTAATCTAGGAAACTACTGGGCTGCCATTAACAAACGAACTGAAAGGCCTTGCACATCCAATCTGTATGAAATAAATCTGATTCACTCTTCAACTTTATTTTTATGCACCTCAACCATGGTCTTTTCCAATCTTCATTTCTGAAACAAAAATTTTGTTCCCACTGTGGTGGTTAATTTAATCCTGAGCTGTACCTCCCACATTACAATTGGATAACCTGTATGACTTGCCAGAGACATTATGTTGCCTAAAGTAAAGGATTAATTCTCCCCATTCCTTCTATTCCACATAGGGAACATCAATCAACAAGTAGTTGACCATACGTCAACATTGGTTATGTCATAATGTATTTAGTTGCACTTAGGGGTAGTGGGCTAATTAATATTGCATTTCAGACTAGCTATATGAGAAACATGTCTCTTCTGTCTGACATCTTGCCACTTATTTTGATCGCTCACAGCAATTATTCTGGTTCAACGTATGCATAACCCATGGGAGGCTTCATACAATTGAATGCTCTTGTGTATTTATGTTTCTTTGACAGAACGAAAGTTTTCAATTGTGCCTTCTTTGTCATATGCATTGCTAACTATGTTGGCATGTCTGCATGTGGTTTGCAGAAAGGGAAAGTGAGTTCTTTGGCATGATAAAACAACCAAAAACACCCCCCACCCCCCTTTACAACCTGAAATTGTATAATCCAGACACAGCTTGACCATCATACCGTTGAAGAGCAATAGCCAATGATGAAATTTCACGGCATGCTTCTATTTTTAAATGGTGCCTAGAAAGTCAGTTTCACAATATGGCAAGACATGCAATGATATTTTAAAGCTTCCAACCATCCAAACAGTCACAATGGAACCCAACTTACTTCTTCAAAGGGATACGCCCATCTGTCGTGACTTGCAATTTAAGTTTTGTGTATCTAAGGAACAAAATAATGTGCTGGTGAGAAATAATTGCAACCACAATATTGCAACTTGCTCTATCTATTGCTGACCATAAAGCAACCTTGTACTTTGTTCTATTGAAGAAAATTATAACCTCACCAAAACGGTTTTCAAGAAAAGGTTAATGCATCTAAACATCAAGAAAATGATCTTTACCTGTAATTACATTTCCAAGTGCACCTTCTCAGGAAATAATTGAGTCCCCCCCCTCCCCAGTGACTTAAAACAAAAAGAATTTTGTTCAAACTGGTTTATTTTACACTATTCGTACATGTATCTATTATATGTATATGAATTCTGTATTGTTGTTGTTAGCTATGAAGTCGTATCTGACCCATTGTGACCCCATGGACAACATTCCTCCAGGCCTTCCTGTCCTCTACCATCTTCTGGAGTCCATTTAAACTCACCTACTGCTTCATTTAAACTGACTCCATCCAGCCACTTCATTCTCTGTCATCCCCTTCTTCTATTGCCCTCAATCATTCCCAGCATTAGGCTCTTCCTTCCTTCTCACTAGGTAGCCAAAGTATTTGAGTTTCATCTGTATTGTACAGAATACAAATCTGTACATCTGTTCATTAAAAAGACAGGCTACAGATATGGGAGATTGGAAGACTTCCATCTATGTAGAGATTGTGCAGTGAATCCTGCAGTGGACAGAAGGGCGATGGCCTTTTAAGCGAGTTTCACATTCTTGCATTCAAGCTGCTAATGGGACATTTCTATTCAGTCAGTTCACTCTTATCAGGGTGGCTTTCAGACCCTCTTTAGCCATGTGAGAAAGTCATTTTTCTTTCATAAGTAGGAATGTAGGGTAAAAACAGAGGGAGAGGTTCAACGGCTTAATTGGAAATAATTGTGATTTACATAGGGCCCTGTGAAGTTTTGAAGGGATACTTTACTTAAACAGAACAGGGCAGTGGTGTATTAACCATTAAGCAGACTAAGCACGTGCTTAGGGCACCAGGCCCAAAGGGGGCAACATAAAGTTGAGAAAGGAAAAAAAACAACCAGTGAAGATTTGTAAAAAAAGGAGGGGGGCACCAGGATTTGTCAGTGTTTAGGGCACCATTGAGCCTTAATCTGTCACTGGAACAGGCCTATTAATGGTCGCCAGATGCCTTCTAGCTAGGTATGTATTGTATTCATGTATGTATTCAATTTTTATAGCCATCCATCTCAGTCAATGACTGGGCTTACAATTAAAAAAAATACATACTACAATCAAAATACTAAAACATTTTAAAGCAATATAAACAACAGAAATGGCCAAAATAAATATACATAGTACTTGAAAAACTTGGCCAGTTAGAAATATAGCTAGGAAACGGGGCTCTTAACACATTCAGCACTCCAGGCATGGGAACATAGCCAGGTTTTTAGGGTCTTATGAAAGGCTACCAGGGTTGGGGGCTATTCTGATCTCCAAAGAGCAGGGACCACTGTGGAATAAGCCTGTGTTTTAGTCACTGCCGACACTCTATGGCTGATGGGATCTGCCCATTCTGCTGGATCTGGATGTAGTGCATCCAGAAGCTAAACTGCCTAGTAAGTATTGGTTGAATAATCAGTCGGAGACAAATATGTCTGCAGTGCTTACCACAATGACCTCTTGGCTGGGTACCACATCCCATGACAGAGCTGCCCCTGCCTGAAGCTCCCTCTACACTGGCCAAAGTTGTTGTAGGCAGGCTGACTTTGCTACATGTTGTAGGCAATTCCAAAGTCACCCATTTTGAGAGCCACTTTGGCCAGTAATGAAAGAGGGGATTGATAAGAGCGAAGATCTTCAAACTTGGCAAGTTTAAGACTTGTGGACTTCAACTCCCAGAATTCCTGAGTTAACATGACTGGGGGAGGAATTCTGGGAGTTGAAGTCCACAAGTCTTAAAGCTGTCATGTTTGAAGACCTCTGGATAAGAGCCTTTTCTCATAGCACTGATCTGAAGTGGTTGAGGCCCTGCAGATTGTTTCAATTAAATTAAATGTCCTCTTTGCTTTCCCAGATTAAATGATGCCATCTCCACTGCCCCAAAACACTTAGTAGAAATGAATCTACATTGTTTCACAAAAGCTAATTAGTGTATACACTCGTGGATAAGCCTATCTATGGATAAACTGAACCCAGTTTTGGGGATGTATTTGAGGATCTAAAATTCTCGGCTTATCCGTGAGTATATGATATACAATAGCTACCCTACACATAATGAATCAAGATGTCAGGAGTTGCAGAAATGATGGGAATAGAAAGGCAATACTATGCTTCCAATGCTTTTCATTAGTTTTACCCCCTGAAATTAAGAAGCTGGCTTGGGAGTGAGAAAAAAAAGGAAAATGAAAATAGCTGTAGGCAGGATTAAACCCTTCTGCTGAAATATTTCAATTGCCCTTTTCTCCACATTCACTTAATCTTCAAGCAAATCCTTCTTTTTTTATTGGAAAATCCTAACCCTTACCTATTCTCTTGCGATGTAAGCAGGTTAGCCATTGGGACTTATTAAATTACAAGTGTAATATTTATAATTTTGGTTTAAAGAAAACCAAATTATTATTATTATACACAAAAAACAACAGTGTACACAGCAAACGAGATAACTATGCTGGATTTCGTATCACAAATCACTAGTTGAACATTCCCAAGCATTTAGAACTGCGTGATGTATCGGCGGATTATGCGAGCAGATCCCAGTAAGGTGGCCTTCTGCAGCTGACCAATGGTGATTTTGTCAGCGCCAATTGTTTTTAAGTGCTTGCCTAGATCTTTAGGCACAGCGCCCAGTGTGCCGAGTACCACTGGAACCAACTGCACTGGTTTCAGAGTCTCTGCAGTTCGATTTTCAAGTCCTGATATCTGGTGATTTTTTCAAGTTGTTTCTCGTCAATTCTGCTGTCACCAGGTATGGCAATGTCGACGATCCACACTTTTTTCTTCTCCACAATCGTGATATCCAGGGTATTGTGTTCCAAAATGTTGTCAGTCTGTATTCGGAAGTCCCACAGTAGTTTTGCATGCTCATTTTCGACCACTTTTTCAGGCTTATGATCCCACCAGTTCTTTGCTACAGGCAGATAGTAGTTGTGACACAAGTTCCAGTGGACCATCTGAGCGACTGTGTTGTGACATAACAGCTCAGTATGTGATTGATGGTTTCGTCCGCTTCTTTGCAGAGTCTGCATTTGGGGTCATCAGCAGATTCTTCTATTCTGGCTTTGATTGCATTTGTTCTGATGGCTTGTTCTTGGGCTGCAAGAATCAGGCTTTCTGTTTCTTTCTTCAGTGTTCCGTTGGTCAGCCATAACCAGGTCTTTTCCTTATCTACTCTTCCTTGGATTTTTTCAAGGAACTGCCCATGCAGTGCTTTGTTACACCAGCTGTCAGCCCGAGTTTGCATCGCTGTTTTCCTATATTTATTCTTGATTTGCTGCACTTTGAGCAGCTTCCTATTTTTGATCTCCATCATCATCATCATCATCATCATCATCATCATCATCATCCTAGTTAATTCATAAGGCAGTTCAAGAAATCTTGGCAAAGCAGTTCATCTGTACTTCTTCAGTAGAACCCAAATCTGAGTATTCTTTGCATTACTCTAATCCAGTAGATTTTTCAAAAAGGATTCATCTACAGCAGCCATCCCCAACCTTTGTTGGATGGCGGGGGGGAGAGGGAAACCAGGTCACGTGAGCGGTGGGCCAGTGCACAAGCACATGCAGATCAACTTGTGCAACTTGAGCTGTGTGTAGACGTGGACATGTGCTGGCCCGCTGCTCGCACAAATTAAGTTATGCACAGATGCTTGTGGGACCCGGTTCCAAATAGGCCATGGCCCAGTAGTTGGCTGTGGCCTGGGGGTTAAGGACTTCTCATCTACAGAGCAGGAAATATCCATATGGAGCATGTGGTACACTGAAGAGCTGTTAATTCTTGGGGAACTCTTTTATAGAAGTCATTAGGCTCCAAAAGCATCGTGAAAGAGAACACACCTTTCTGTGCACTACATTTTCTACCGAAAATCAGCATTTCTTTTAAAATGTCACCAGGATTTCATTACATATGCTTGTGTGTGTAGCATGTAGTTTAAATATATCTCCGTTTATTCTTATTCAGTCATCTGCATGACTGTAGATAAACTTGGGTATATTTAGGTGTTTCCTCTTTAAGTTGAAAAAAACTATTTTTGCCCCAGGATGTTGTCATCAACACCATCCTTTGTGCTTTTGTTTCAAAGCCCTCTGGATCAACACATGGTGCCTACAGACTTCACAGGAACAGATTTACAGTTATTTGCTTCTGTGGGCAAAGGCACAGGCAGTTAAGAAAGGGAGGTGGAAATCTTGTAGCCCTTTATTGTACAGCTAATAAAAGATAGCACAACATAAGGAGATAAGCCTGTCATATATTGCTTATAACCTTAAGCAGCAGTATCAGAATTCCAGATCTGTCATTTTCAACTAGCCAGTCCATAAGTTTTAGAACCGGCCACTATAAGTCATGCTATGCTGACTGGCAGGTTTAAGGTAATGCATGCTAAATATTTTAACCACTGCAGATCCATTGAAGTGCAGATTCAAATGAATTTCATTCAGAATTCTACTGGGATTCAAAGCTGGATCCATCCAGGCAACTGCCAGAATCAAACTCTGGAGAAAATCGTTGGGTGGTGGTAGTGGAGGATGGAGATTGCTCCTATAGTTCCATGGTGAAAAGTATTTTATAGCTTTCTTTTTTAGGTTTAAAAAGCTACTGGTAGTCACATGTTCATCCCAAGACATGCTGAAAAAGGGGCCTCAATATTCTATCAGAGTGGTGTATAACTTTAATCAGTTAAGATTTTCATTTTCATTTTTTTATAAAAAGACCAGACCCTCCTGCTCTCTTCTAAAAATTATAAAGTAAGTGCAATATCCATCTGCTCCCAGTCAAATCTGGAGAAATTGTCTGATTGTGAATCTACTGCTAAAAAACAGAACAGACTTGGTGTCTTACGAAACCCTACTGATGAAGGATCCAAGCCAACCGTTTAAAGAACTTAATTTCGGGTTCCTACTCTAACTTTTAACAGAACATTTCTCAAGGTTCTCATGAGACTTCTCAAGATGTTGCAGACTTCCTTCTCTACTCGTGAAGTGCCAAATGTATCCACAGAGATCCTTCCTGAATAATAGTGCTTTCTGCACGTAACCATAAATAAGGATGAAAAATTTCCCCTTCTCACGCATAAGCTAAGTGTCAAAATTGTATGCTTCTGCATCCAAATGCTTCACAATCAGGAATATCCCGTTTATGAACTATATATTTGGGCACAAACATGAATTAGAGTAGCTTAGCACACTATCTGCTATTGTGACTCCCTTTGTATAGTCATTCCCAGAAAAGGAAGTGTACTACATTAAGTATTAGGATGGTGCAAACAAAAACTCAGACTACACCTTTCTGAGTAATCATGGCTGAGCTTCTTAGTCCTGTTTCTAAAAAGACGCTCAGTTTCCCATCTCAATGAGAAAAGAGGAAAGAGCATGTTTAGAGAGGCAGTAATCCATCATCATGAAAACAATTGGTAGCGATAATTCTTTCCAAAAAAAAAAAAAAAGGAAGCTGACACATAAGAAACTGAAGCAACTTCCCACACAATAAGGATTTTTGTACTTACGCTTTTTCCAGAAAAGCATCCCTGGACATGTTCTGTGCCAACAGGTTTGTTGCCAGACTGAAGATTTCTTCTGACCATTCCTAAACAGAAAAAAAGAAAAAAAAAGAAATTCCATTTACATTCATCCAGAGAAACTTCTCTTCAAGATTCTCTTTGAAGGGTTAAATCTTCCCATAGGAAAACAATCAAGGTTGGTGGAAAGGTGTAACAAACAAGCAGAAATGGACAAGTTTATGGACACGTGCGAAACAGCATGGGGAAGAAAGCATGGCGAATGGGATTGTGTTAGCAGAGAGAATCGAACAAGAATGAATAACAAGAAGTACGATCCCATTACTAACAATATCATCATTACCTTTATATCATGTTTTGGACATACAGCTAATCCTCCACCTATAATCACAATTGGGCCCAGAATCTCAGTCACTGATGAAACGGCCCTTAAGTGAAATGCCACACAACCACTTCACTCAACACCCACAATCTCTGTTCTCCCAGTTGCAGCTATTAAGCAACCATGGACATCATTCACCAGAATGTCAAGAAGAGGTCCTAGGTCTCCATGATGTGGTTGGCAGAGAGGAGGCTCAGGCCTCCCAACACAACCAGTTGTTCAGGTCCTCTCCTTGCCCGACCGAAAAGAGCAATCACAATAACCTAGGTGTTTGCTAGCATTTTCAAACAGACAGACAGACAGAAAGAAAGAAAGAATTCTTTATTGGCCAAGTGTGATTGGACACACAAGGAATTTGTCTTCGTGCAAATGCTTTCAGTGTACATAAAAGAAAAGATACATTCGTCAAGAGTCAAGATTCATCAGGTACCACACTTAATAATAGTCATAGGGTACAATAAGCAATCAAATCATACTAGGAAACAGTCAATATAAATCGTAAGGATACAAGCAATAAAGTTACAGTCATAGAGTCACAAGTGGGAGGGGATGGGCGATAAGGAGTGATGAGAAGATTAATAGTAATGCAGACTTTGAACAGTGTTGAGGGAATTATTTGTTTAGCAGAGTGATGGCGTTCAGGAAAAACCTGTCCTGGTGTCTAGTTGTTCTGGTGTGCAGTGCTCTATAGCGTCATTTTGAGGGAAGGAGTTGAAACAGTTTTATGTCCGGGATGTGAGGGTCTATAAATATTTTCACAGCCCTCTTTTTGACTTGTACAGTATATAGGTCCTCAACTGAAGGCAGGTTGGTAGTAATTGTTTTTTCTGCTTCATTCCTCCAGTGTATTGAGGGGCAGACCTCAATTCTGGCAAAACATTGGTGAATGCTATTGTTTTGGAGGGCTCAAAACATTCGCAAATGTCAGAATTTTCCCCTCACCTACCAGCATCCTCAGCCTTTCAAAACAGTGGCATTTGCTAGCATGTTCTCCTCCCCTTCTAGAAGTTGAGGAGTACCTGTTTTAAATACTATTTTATACCCTTACAACAAAACCATAAGGGAGATTTGTACAGTATTATTGTCTCAATTGGGTAAGCCTATGGCAGAGGTAATACTTAAATTTGGGATATATAGCCACAACTGGGACTAGATTTTCACTTCACTAATCAATGCGGTCACTAAATGAACCTTCATGTGACTGGATCTGATTTTATGACTATTTTTACAGAGGGCGTTAATCACAAATCCACTTTGCCCAATTAACTTTGCTTGTTGGAAGCCTACTGGGAAGTTCGCAAATTGCAATCATGTGACCATCGTACAAGCATCCAAACATCCAAGTTGAAATCACATGAACACTGGAATGCTATGATGGTTGTAACTTTGATGATGGGTGGTAAGTCACTTCTCTGGGGTGCTCAAAACCAGGAAATGTCATTAAACAAATGGACATAAGTTGAGGACTACCTGCAGCCCAAGGTCACCCAGCTGGCTTTTGCCTAAGTCAGGGCTAGAACTCATAGGCTCCCAGTTTCTAACCTGTTGCTTTAAGCACTACACCAAACTGGCTTCTATATTAGCTTTCTTTTATTAATATGCAAGAAAAGAACCATGGAGTTCAGACCTTCTTTTGGAAGGTTAATGAATAAACCTCTTGATGATAATATAACAACCTCATTTCCATTTCAGCCACATTATGTAGCAGGAAACTGACATATTTTAATGTAGACTTTACACATGCTTTAAGGGAGCATATACATGTGCTAAGATGGTTGTGGAGGTCACAGAATTCCCCACGCCAGCTGCTATTCCTTTTTCTTGATGGAAGTCTGGTCTAATTTTTCTCTGTAATATGAGAGCAACATTCATATGAAAGCAACATTCATATGAAAGCAAAAGTATGCAAGAAACACAGCAGTAAATGGTGAATTAAATGCTGCATGAGAAAAACAACTGCCAGCCAGGATATTTTACAAAACTGCAACTGGCCAATTTAGGGAACGGGATTCTGCTATGGATAATCGAGAACTGTAAAAATTAATTTGGATACTATAAACTGTTGGTCACATGTCAAGTCTCACTGAAGTAGCAGCAATCCCATGTTTTAATTAAAGGTTCCCACGCTCCGAAAAACACAGATGCCCAGAGCCTCTCTCTCTCCTGCATATAGCATATTCTTCTTTCATTTCTTACCCTTATTCCCACATCTATGCTGACAGCTTGGAAAATCTCCTTGTAATCCAACCTTAAAGTCTGAGGCTTATTATGTGTAAGCTTCCCTGCTGTTCTCCTTCAATATTTGGTCTTGTAAATTATCACCTTGCCAAATAACTCTCTTCCCTTCCCTGAAATTCATAATAAATTCCAGTTTACAACATTTCTGTAGAAACAATGCAAATACACTTGTCTTCAATCTCCTTGACCTTCCCTTCTTAGTTCACTGCATACTTGGCGACCATACTATTATTAGAACTACTTCAGACAGAATCCTTGTACAATACTACATAACACTTGAGAGACTTGAAAACAGTGTTGATGTTTGTCCCAAAAGTGCTTTTCAAAAGAGCAACCAGACTGCATTTTTTTTCTGAAAACATTTCACTTCTCATCCAAGAAGCTTCTTAAATGTTTTCTTGAAAACATTTTGTTTTGTTGAGAAACGAAACATGTCAGAGTTTGTTGCAAAAAATCAGATCAACATACAGATAACTGATTCAGCAGCATTTATTAACTTCTTTATATGCATAATAACACATGGAGTAAATTTACAATACCAACAGCAGATTCTTCCAACCTGGTAGCAGTTACAAGCAAAACACGAGCAGAGGAGAGAGCAGTTTCAGTTTTGATTTCAGAGCAGACAAGTCTGCAGTTTCAGAGCTCAGAGCTTAATACAGAGCCAAGCCCAGGCTCCTTCCAGTTTCAGTTTCCAAACAGTCCTCATTGGCTGACTTAGTTGCTATGCCTATTCATTGGCTGACCTTGTTACCATGCCTCTGCCAGTTCATGAATATTCTGACAAAATATTTTCAAAAACAAAACAAAACAAAACACACACACACACACACACACACACAGAAAGTCCGGTTATCTTTTGAAAACCACTTCGGGACAACCATGACTTGGATGCTTGATAATCTCCATAGATAGTTTTGATGTTTCAGGCCAAATACTCCTTAGCTAACCATTTAGCACTTCTTTACCATCGGATCATCATAGAATTGGAAGAGAACTAAGATGTCATCAACCCCCTACACAGTGTAGGATTCACTTCACCCTCCCTGATAAATGCCTACGCAGCTTCTGTTTGAAAACCTTCGGTGAAGAAAAAGAAACCATTAAATGCAATCCTCCTTCTGGTTCTAACTTAAAGCATTTTAGATGATCCGATCTCACCATGAGATTTTAGTGAAGCAAGCAAAGATCTATTTCAATTGTATAAGTATTCTGTCTGAATGCTGGAGCAATTTTGCATTTTTCTCCCCAAACCAAAAAGGAATTCTATTTTTAATACATTCCATATTAATAAATTAAAGTCAGAGTAAACATAATTATTCTGCAGATTAAATATGCTTCCTTTAATTCAAAGAAATTAAGCCAGAAGGAATTTTCTTATTGAGAACTTAAGTTCACATCTTCCTATTCTGCCTAGCACTCAGTCCTTCTACACTGCATCTGATTCAATCAACTCTCCTTGCTCCTATTGAAAATTCAGGGTACTACTTCTAATATCAAACTTATCTTACAAGTGCTAAAAGAAATGAAGCCAATATAGGACCATTAACATTAAAAAGGGAGTTATTAACAAACACAAGAAGCATTGAATCATGTAGATCCTCCCTATTGTGTAGAAAAGCAAGGTTAGCAACTCAGAATCTGTTTTAGGAGAAATACAGATATATTTCTGCACTTTATTTCTGGCCACACTCAGTATAACCTTACCATTATCAACGGTATAAGTACAGGGGTGTCAAGCTGGCGGCCTTGCGGGACGGATGCATCACGTGGAGGCCACGCCCACCCCGGTTCCACGAAGGGAAAAAACATCGCAAAATGTCACATGACAGTAATGTGATGCCGTGAGTTTGACGCCCATGGTATAAGAGGATGAAACAGAGCCCATCTTTTGTTCATTATCAGGGAGTAAATGCTTATCAAAAATATGGGAAACAATTATCTATAGTTTTTGACAAATTATGTGACATCAAGTTCTTGGTAAGATACATTGGAAGCGGCTTGCCCTTGCCTCCTTCCTAAGGTTGAAAGAGAGTGATTTTGAATCCAGAATGACACCGAATAATTTTAAACAGAAAGTCTAAACTCAGACATTAAAATTCACATTTTTAAGGAAGAATGAAAAAAAAAGTGAGTTAAGTATCAGATGGACACATGCAAAAACAAAGAAAGAGTCAATACAGGTAGAGCAATAGATGAAAATGATTATTATTTGTTAGAATGATAGAATCATGGAACTAAACCTTCCTCCCTTGAAATGTTAATACTAAAATTCTCACAAGGTCCATCAGTGTGACCATGGAAATTTGGGTGGCTCGATATATTAGAGAATACCAGGTTGGAAAAAAATGAAGAGGGAGGAAATTCCAAAGACAAGGGATTTACAGTGTAGGAAGTTTTAGTTGCAAGTTTCCCAGAGTCATGTAGGATTCAGTCAAACAAACAAAC